CCATGAGTGATGCAGGGTCCCTGACACTGGCCACTCCGGGATCCTTTCCCCACAGCGGGAGACATTTGCCCAAACTGGCAACCCCAAGTCATCTTTTTCTGCATCCTTCCTAGGGCAGGGCAAACAGTGAGAACCATCCCTGTGCACCTCTGGAGAGGCATCTGCAGGGGCTTGGGGCTCGGCACAGGCTGACGCCTGCTGCATGCACCTCACCCAGAAGGGTGGTGGGTTCAATTAGCATTTGTCAATGAAATACAAAGTCACTGTTGCCTGGGCTAGAAGCCGATGCCGGAGCCTGTGCAAAGTAACCCAGCCCTGGTGGGATGAGGGACAGAGAAGGGAATAGCACCCAGCCTGGCTAGAGAACACAGGCTGGTCTTGCAGCAAGAAGCTTCACTTAACTGTTAATGCAGGAGGGCGGTTGCTGGTGTGGGGCAGTCTGGGGAGGCTGCACCCAGACACCGTAAGCAGAGTATGGGGGCTCCACAAATGCAGACCTGGCCTTCTCAGCTAGATGCACCAGGTGCTGTTGCACTGTCAAGCAGCCTGGGGCTTGCCCCTCACTGCATACTGAGGGGCAGGGGGCACAGAAGATGGAGGAGGTGAGAGTGGAGAGTAGGTTCTATGGAGCTGAGAGTCTCATTGGTTGTGACATCTCGACAAGGACTGGAACTGGAAGAGACGAGTCACTGCCTGGTTCTGTTCCGGTTTAGCCTGGGATTAACGTCCTCGGTGCTACAGAGCACACCTACTGAGGTTACTGTGGTAGCAGGCGGGGCACAGGGCACGGAAGGCATGGGAGGAGTGAGCACTGGCTGAGGGTCAGGAACTCTGAAATGTTCTGGTTTGGGGGCATTCAATGGGTTCCTTCATTTCATGCAGCCAGAATGGACCCTCTCTCTCAGGGCAGCATCGGCTTGTCCTTGCTGCTGGAACTGGACCTGTCTGCCCCAGCCTGACTAATGTCCTCAGTGGAAACCGCCCAGACTTTCTGAACCTCTGCACATGGTAGATACATTAGAGCCTTTTTTTGGAAAAAGCTTTTTCCAATTGCTTTTTCAGAAGAGGCTTTCCCATCATTTGGCCAGATGGCGAAACAGCCTCCTCTTTCAGAGGAGCCCTTATTCCTCATAGAACAAGGTACACAGGGCTCCCCGAAACAGGGCCGGATTAAGGGGGGGGCGAGCTGGGCAGCTGCCCAAGGCTCCAACCTATGGTGGGTGCCCGATGGCAGCTGTAAGGGGCACTGCGCACCTGGCTGTGCAGCGCCCCGTAGAACTGCAATCGGGCACCGCGTGGCGCCCCGTAGAACTGCAATCGGGTACCATGTGGCGCTCCAGAGAACTGCAATCGGGCACTGTGCGCATGGGGCCATGGTCCACTCGGTGCCCCTTAGAGGTGCCATCAGGCGCAGTGCGCCCAGGGGCCGTGCGGCACCCTTTAGAGTGCAATCAGGTGCCGTGCGCCCAATGGCAGCTGTAAGGTGCTCAGCGTGCAGGGGGCGGGGCGCACATGCATCACTCGCCTGGTTGCAGCTGTAAGGTGCGCAGTGTGCTGAGGGGCGGGGCCGTGAATGCTTCACTCGCCTGGTTGCAGCTGTAAGGTGCGCAGTGTGCCGAGGGGCGGGGCCGTGCATGCTTCACTCGCCTGGTTGCAGCTGTAAGGTGCGCAGTGTGCCGAGGGGCGGGGCGTTGCAGCTGTGGTGCGCAGTGTGCTGAGGGGCGGGGCCGCGCATGCTTCACTCGCCTGGTTGCAGCTGTAAGGTGCGCAGTGTGCCGAGGGGCGGGGCGTGCATGCTTCACTCGCCTGGTTGCAGCTGTAAGGTGCGCAGTGTGCTGAGGGGCGGGGCCGTGAATGCTTCACTCGCCTGGTTGCAGCTGTAAGGTGCGCAGTGTGCCGAGGGGCGGGGCCG